TGTTTGGTAGGGGGTTGAGGGAGTGGGGGGGGGGGGGAGGCCTTGTGTTCTTTCTTTTCCTCTATGCCTGTGTTTAGCTGTTTAGCTTGAGAAAGTGGGGGTGGGGCGCCGGGGGGCAATTTAGAGTTGTAGCCTGTAGGGTGTATACAAACTCAGACGAAAACGATCTTGAAAATGAAGGCTGCTATCAACTTCATTGTCAAAATTGCACTTTTGGAGATGGTTGTTCTCTACTAGAGGGTGGCGCGGCTAGCCCTCCTAAACCCTAAACCCCAGACGCTAAACCCTACAACCCTAAACCCTACACCCTAAACCCAAACCCCAAAACCCTGGACCCTAAACCTTAAACCATAGACGCTAAACCATAAACCCAAAACCCTATACTAAACCCTAAACCCTGGACCCTAAACCCTAAACCCTAGACCCTAAACCCTTAACCCTAGACCTTAAACCCTAAACCCTGACCCGCATGAAACCCTAAACCCTCAACCTCAAACCTCAGAGGAACCTCAGTCCCAGCCCCCCAAGCCCATCAGCGCCACGCCTTGACAAACCACTCACGTTTTCGGGCTTCGGAGTTTGAGGGGCCGAGGGTTTGGGGTTTAGGGTATTAGGGCTTACGAGTTTAGGGGTTTTGGGGCGCTGAGGGGTTTAGGGTTTAGGGGTTTTAGGGCATAGGGGTTGGAAGGTTTAGGCCAAGGACTTTAGGGATTTTTTGGGGTTTAGGGATCAAGCACTGATGGTTTAGGATTTATAGGGTTTAGTTTCGGGGCCTCAATATTTAGGATAGGGTTTTGGGGTTTAGTAATTTAGGTTCGGGGCCTCAATAATTAGAGGTGGGCCTTGGGGGTCTGTTATACTAGAATTATAAGAAGGAGCCCCAAAGCCCTATTCTAATCGTTGAGGCCCCTATATTGGTACCCTCCGCTTGGGGTTTCGAGGTCCCCTCTTTTGCCGGTGGTGTCTCCAGCTCCCGGGATAGGGCCATGCAGAGAGCCTCAGGTCACTTGTGCCTGAGCCATTGAAACTGCCCTGAAACTTCTTCAAACTACAGCCTTGAACTAACTCCCCAGCTCCAGGGAGAGATGATCCATCTTCACTCAGGGAGAGAATTAAGGGGCAATAGGAGGGACCCCTAGAAGGGACCCCTAATCGCAATACCCTATAGAACCATCATTAAATACCCCTTATATGGTCTCATAAAGCCCCGATATAACCCCAAGGGTCCCTCTAAGGGTCTCTCCTTTAGTCCCTTGAGAGAAGTCTGGTCGTCCTGCAAGAGCCCCCCCTAAACCCTAAACCCTAAACCCTCTACTCGAGGGTGGCGCTCTCGCTGTAAGCCTTCGCTTGCTGCCGGTACCTCTCCAGACGCTCGGCCTTAGTCGGTGCATTCTTCTCGATGGTCGCCTTAGCAGGGCTTAGGGCTTATTAGTGTTTAGGGGTTCGGGTTCAGGGCTTAGAGTTTATAGTGTATAGTGTTTAGGGTTCAGGGGCTTAGGGTTTATAGTGTTTAGGGGTTAGGGCTCAGGGTAGGGCTTTGGGTGTATAGCGCTTAGGGGTTAGGGCTCAGGGCTGATAGTGCTTAGGGGTTAGGGCTCAGAGGGTTTAGGGTTTATAGTATTATAGTGTCTAGGGCTTAGGGTCTATAGTGTTTAGGGCTTAGGGCTTAGAGGACTCAGGGCCTTCTCCTTCTGGAGCTCTTTGATTGCCTGCGGGAACTGGGCGGCCTCAATGCGGGAGCGGGTGACGAAGTCCTGGGCCATGCCCGGGAGGAGGATAACAAACCACAAAAAAAGAAGAAGTTACTAAACAAATAGTTGATCCTATTGATCGCATATATTTTGTTGCTAGAACAAAATATAGTAAATATGGTGTAATTATATGATCCTGAATATGAAAAGTTCGGATACAACAGAAAGGCGCACACCCAAGGACCCAAAAAATGAGATGATCAGCTTAGAATCAATCTCCCCCGGCTTCGTCGCAGCGTTTGCAGCATCAATCCCCTGCATGTACCCGGGCCTCACAACTGAGAAGTCGGGAAGTGCACCCGGTTGGGCCAACGCAGCCCGGGGTGCCGTGAAAGCCATGACAAGCCCAGCCAACACCGCCATCGCGACTGGCACACCGGTGGGAACCACTGTACGATCCTCGGGCGCCTGAGCGGAAGCTGTTGTGAACGACTTGTGGCTGCGCGGTGGGGTCACCGAGACGAAGCTACTGAGGGAACCAGCCGCGAGGAAGCTCGCGGACAATGCAGCAAGAAGTGCAGCGGAACGCACCATGGCTAGTCCAGGCCAAGGGAGCCGGGGGTCAAGATCCAAGTCAACAGTCTTGCGGTACACGCAAAGCCCAATCTGGCTCCTAAAACCATGCAGCCCCCTCAGAATGGCAAGAACACCCCAGAAGAAGGGATCCTGCTTCGATTTTAGGGCATATTCCATCATTCAGAGATATCATAGTCTGTATTGTAGTTCCTTTTTGGGGTTGCCTTTTAGGATCCTTCATATAAAAATGGGAAAAGCCAAAAAGGGAACTACAATGGAGACATTGGTACAGCGGAAGGTCTGGGCTAAAGGAAGACCATCTCGACTCAGTCAGAAACTTCGGGCTGCCCTGAGACCCCTAACTCGAAATTCTGCGCCTCATAGAAACCCTATAGCCTCCTAAAGTCTTCAAGGGAACCTGAACCCCTAAACCCTATGTTAGGCCTCTAAAAAGGGAACCCATAAAACCCCTAAACCCTACACATGTTAGTACCCCTCTAAAGGGATACCCACACAGTAGGGCCCCCGTGAGGCTGAGGTCCAGCCTCCTCCTGGTCTCTCTGCGCTTCCTGAGCCTGCGTCTGCTGCTTCTTAGGGTTTAGGGTTTTGGGATTAGGGTTTAGGGTTTAGGGTCCAGGGGTTTAGGGGTTTAGGGGTTTAGGGTTTAGGGTGTAGGGTCTAGGGTTAGGGTTTATAGGGTTTAGGGTGTAGGGTTTAGGGTGTAGGGTTATATTGGGGACATTTGGGGACCCCAAAAGGGAGCCTAATTTAGAGAACTGCCCGAAATGTGTTGGGTCTGTCCCTTAAACCCTCTGTCAACCCCTTTGGTGCCCATAACTGGTAAAACCCATAAAAATGAACCTTATGGCGCCCATCACCCAGTGACTTACCATATAGCTAACTGGTAAACCCTATATAAATAAACCTTATGGTGCTCATACCCCCGTGAATTACAATATAAGTAGTCCTCTAAATTAGGGGTCCCTTTTTAGGTTCCCTAAATAATGCGGCACTCTTTCAAAACGGACCCTTAACGGGATCCTGATTTAGAGAACTACCCAACAAAGGGGACTGGGTGCCTGGGTGTGCTCTCTCCCAAGTCTTCAGGGATCCAGTTTTTAGCTGTTTTTCTGTGTTGAGGGGGTGGTGTCCCTGATTGTTTTGAGACACCTGGACTGCCGTCACAATTAGGCAGAATGGTACCTCAAACTCCTTTGGGAAGTAGTTGTGAAGCTATCGACAGGGTGTGCTTGACATGTTGAGGTGTTGCGGGTTCCCGGCTGGAGGTGCGGGGTGGCGGCGGCGGCGGAGGGATGGGGGGTGAAGGGCACTGTGATGGTGCTAAAGTAACTACAGCAGATGAACCGGCAGACCGTAACCCCCAAATGGGTTACAGTCTACCGGCTTAAGCAGTGAAAATCATCAGCTGGAAACAAGAGAGTCATTCAAAATGAGTCATCCCTGAACCAATCCCAAAGCTACCAAATCCGAAGCTGGCACCTAAAAACCAAGCATGCTACTGTTGATGGTATAAATCCTGCATTACCATAAGGACCCTACACTACGGGAATTATGGCAGGTCCTTCTTGTGGGTAACGCAGCATTTATATCATCGTATCCCTTCCCATCATAACAGCACCCCGCGAGCCGGCGAATCCACTCTGCAGGCAGCTCTAGGAGTCAACCCCCTGAGTGGCAGAATCGGCCAAAACCTAATAGTCGGAATTAGGGTTTTCGAGGTATGTATATATATATATATAGAGAGAGAGAGATAGAGAGAGAGAGAGATAGATATAATCCCATAACTATAATGAGGAGCCCCAACATAGTATTGCTAATTACTTGCTTAAAGGTCGTAAGCCCCGTTGTGACACCCCTGGAAGGCTTCAGAGCGCACAGTTCCATGATGGGTTTCTGCCTCAGGGTGCCGAATGCCCTGCTGACTCCCCGATTTGGGGACTCTGCCCATAGGCCCCTAAGCAGTTCCTTTTTGGGATTACCTTATAGGAAACCCTGAACCCCGAACCCTACTGGGCAACTCTTAGGGCCTGAATCGAAACACTTTTTAACTCCAAAGCCTACACTCACTCAGCCAGCAGTGCAGCCTTCTCGTGCTCCTCCAGCTTCTGCGCGTAGTCCTGCCATGCAGCTTCGAAAGTCCCAAACCCTAAACCCTAAACCCCTAAACTCAATCGGCACATGGAAACCCCTTCATGCACGTAGCAAAAGATGAACTAGGACCAAGGATGCCCCCCCCCCCCCGACGAGAGCCGGGGCATAGTGTCAACTCCGAGCCAAGCATTTCTTGAGACCAAGAGTTCACTGGTGCGACAGTGTGGGTGGCGAAGCTGCGCACAGAAGCCGAGAAAATCAACAAAGAATGCTTGGGCGGTTGGGCCCGTGATTTTCGAAAGTTGCTGCATTGAAATCATTGAACTACCGTGTTTTGGAAGACGTGTCGGCTGCTCTATTCCCTCTCCATCAATCTTTGCGTCGTTACAGCATCAGGATCACGACCAAGCGACGTCACATCCAGCCGTGTGGAACCTTGCCCAAGACCTAAACCCCTTCACAATGATGCCAGTAACCATGGAACGCCCCCAACCAAACCAAAACCTTTGATACCCTTGAACATAAAACCCAAGAACACACACACACACACGCACACGCACAACCTTTCATACCCTTCAACGTAAGAACACTATAATATATATATATATAAACCCCAACAGCCCAAAGACCCTCCCTATTAAACCCGACAGCGCCTCGGCCTGCTGGATGGCCTTGCTGCTGGGGCCTTCCCGGGCCTTCCAACATCACGGTTTAGGGTTTAGGGTGTAGGGCTTAGGGTTTAGGGCTTAGGGTTTAGGGTTTAGGGTTAAGGACACACACATACACACACAAATCTGTGCGCTGGAAGATCGGGGCGAGGGGAGCCAGGGGTGTTCTCAGCGGAGGGAGAAGCCAAAACCCTGGGAACAAACCTCACAAGAATCTGTAAAAAAAGACGGACCTACACAAGTTCAAATCAACGGCACGAGAAACCCTGATGATACCCTGTAAATGCGCTGAAAAATCCCTACAGATCCTGTGCAACTCTCGAAGAAGGTATTTCAGACTTTCGGGGGCCTTGTTCTGCTCGGTGGCCACGGCGATTTGCTGCCGGATCTGCGCAGGGTTGCGAAGGTACAGAGCCTCATCGCAGTAGAGACGGGGTTTACGTTTAGGGGACGGGCTCGGGGGCTTAGGGTCTCGGGGTTTAGGGGTGTCAGTTACTCAGGCTTATGGAGGTTAGGGGCTTCGGGATTTATAGGGTTTGGGAACCCCCTCAACCCTTTAACCCTTTGGGTCGCAGAGCTCAAGAAGGCAAGGAGGCCGGAAAAAATCAAAAAAAAACAAACACATACACACAGAACTCATTACTACAACATGTAGCATTCTGAGGATTCAATGATCCGTGCACATTATTACGACTGCATCACCCGTAATCGTAACAGTACCCTGTAGGATTCGAAGGACAGTGTAACTGTCATGAGGAATCTTGAAGTTTACAACCGTCAAGGTGACGCTTTCGCCGTCGCCCCCCTCCCCTCCTACCAGAAGGCCCCTTCTGTTGGAGTTTCTACAGACATTCCAAGCCGAGACAGGACTTCGGATTTAGCTTGGCTGACTTCTGAACCCCTCCTAAAAGTTAAACTTTTCGCCTGCTTATTATAGTTCATATAGAAACCCAAAAAAGTTAAAGTCCTAAGAGCCAACCTGACTCTGCAAACCACGGCGCATCCTGCAGCTCGGCGGTCGTCCGCTTGATGGCGTCAATGGTCACCTTCAAGGAGGCCATCAGGGCTCATTTAAGGGTTTTGTTTAGGGTTCAGGACTTGAAGGACTTGAAGGACTTTTTTTGAGGGTTTGGGTGTAGGGTTTAGGAATTTAAGGCTTGTTTTTAGGGTTTAGGGTTTAGGACTTTATGGGTTACTTAAAGGGTTTAGGGTTTAGTTTTCGGAACATTTCGGGATCCTTCATGGGATCCTTATTCTCTGAAAGAGTCCAGGGTTCGGGTTCAGGTTGGGGCTCGGAGGGGACATGGCTTGACGGTTTAGGGCTTACCTGTGGCCCCAAAAGACTGACCCGTTTAAGGAACTCTATGTAGAAACCACAATGGGGAACCCGAAAAGGGTGGTTTATTGCGGCTACAGGTAGAGTCTTAGGGTGTAGATGCCCGGATGCGTGCAGTGGAGGGGCCTTAATGGTTTAGCACATTTGTAGTTCTTTAGACCTTGGCCGCTATATTATGGAGGTTGTCCGGGAAAGTGAAGAAAAGTTACAGGTATTAAGGCCCCCCATACCCCCCTACCCCTAACCTAAACCCTAAACCCTAAACCCTACCCCCCTAAGAGTCAAAGCCAAAACACAAAACCCTAAACCCTACCCCCCAAGAGTCCTTATGAATCACTTGTGAATCTAAGTCTCCCGGGCTCGCCCCTCGGGCCTTGGGGAAACCCCAAGGTCCAGGTCTTCGGGTCGAAGTCTTACGACGCAGAGGGCTTAGAGCTTGCGGGTGTCTACCCATAGGCTCCCTAGTAGTTTCCTTTTTGGGATTATCTTATAGGATCCTACGGACAGCTTCTCGTACCCATAGGCTCCCTAGTAGTTTCCTTTTTGTGGCTTCTATTTTAAGGATCCTATAAGATAATCCCAAAAAGCAACTACTAAGGAGCCTATGGGTATGAGAAGCTGTCCGTAGGATCCTATAAGATAATCCCAAACAGGAACCAAGGAGCCTATGGGTGGCGACCAAGTTCAGGTTTAGGGTTTCAGGGGCGCCTGCCAGGGTGGCTGAAGCTTGAAAGCCTTTTTGGGTTTAGGGGTTTAGGGTTTCGGGGTTTAGGACACACACCCTCTATCAAGGAACGAAAGGAGATATGGCCGGAACCCCTATACAACCCTTCTAAACCACAAAAAACCCTGACAGAACCCTTATAGACAGCTTGCAAGCCATCGTAAAACAATCTAGGCGCTAGAGCGCAGACCTAACCTCTATCAAACAGAAAATCTCAGCCACACGGTGGTCGTTCGGTGCGAGGTTTACTAGGCCTGGGCTTTAGGGTTCAGGGTTTAAGGGGGTTGGAGGAGACATGGTCTAGGCAATGGGTTGAGGGCGCGGCTCAGCTTTGTACCAACAGTCGGATTCGCATTGAAACAAGACTGACAAGAGTATATTATCAAGACACACAGCAATCAAGCGACAACTCCTGCTGTGATTTTATGTAGCGTATGGAACTGCAGTCACTGTTGCAAACACGAAGATTGCGAAAAGCCATGGCAATCAACATCACAAGAATGACAGCGAACTCGTCTGCAGAAAAGACAACCACGAAAGCAACAATGGTAGTAAGAGGGCTATTGGGATCAGGTGCAAGTTTCAACAAGCTTAAGTCCTCGACCCAAGGATTCCGTAGCCGTCACCCCCGCCTGGATGGGTGATGCAAGCTCAATGGGTAGTTCTCTAAAATAGGGTCCCTTTCTAAGTCCCCAATGAAGTACGGCACCCTTATAAAAAAAAAAAAGTGCCCAAGAAGACCCTAATTTAGAGAACTACCCAGATGTCCACTGCTGGTCAATGTCATCCCCCACCCTGATGGCCTTGGACATCCGCTTTTTCACGGCAATCCAGGCGTCCTCGTTCTTCTCTGCAGAGTCCTCAGTGCTTCGACTGAAGTGGCTCTATCCATAGGCCCCTAAGCAGTTCCTTTTTATGGCTTATATTTAGAATCCTATAAGGTAATCCCGAAAAGGAACTACTTTGGGGCCTATGGGTACACCCCCAAGGCCTATGCGAAAGCTGAAGCCGAGGCTTAGAAGAAGCCCGAAGATGCCTTAAGCTGACGTTACATGCCAACCTAAGGGTCACGATCGTCTCCGTTGTCGTTCCTTTTGGCGGCTTTAGCAGCATTGACTTTAAACCCCCCAAAACCTCCAAACCCCTAGGAGAATGTAGGGGCCTTAACAATTGGAATAGGGTTTTGGGGTCCTTTACAGCATAATTCTCATAAGGGAACCCCCCAAATTAATATATGGGGTCTTGTATAGTAAACCTCTCATAAGGAACCCCCCAAAAAACAAAAAACAAAAAACAAAGAATATAGGTCATCATAATGATTTTGGCAGTGTTCGGTACTTTGCTTCCGCGGTGGGCTCAAGGCTCGGTCCATAAACTCGAAACCAGGTGCTTCTACTAGGCTTCGGGCTTCGGGTTTAGGGGTTTGGGGTTTAGGGTGTGCTCGTCTCGACAGACATTTTGACACCGTGAGAGTCGAAGAGATGTGAAAGATACGTGGATGAATGAACTTAGGGTTTGGGCTTTAGGGTTTAGGGTGTGGTGTCTCCAGTGAAATCTGTAGGTTTCGCTGACGATCCTTTTCTGACGCACCCATCAGGTCAAAATTGACATGTGTCACGAGCTGCGTATGCTGTTCCGTTACGTAGCAGCAGACTTGTTGTTAAGCCTGGCCCTGATCTGCAGTCTCCGGGTTCTTAGTAAGGAATGGAGGAATGGGTTACTGGGACTACCAGAGGGGACCTTAAGGGACTATCATAGGGATCCATTCCCCCATTCCCTACTAAGAACCAGGGAGTCTTTGCTTTTTGGGGTTGCCTATAAATAAGGATTCGGATTAGCTACGCACTGGACTCTAGATCCCAGCACTCTGATCCCTACACCGGCAGTTAGGAATAATGATAATAATAGTAAGAGTGATAAGAATAACAAGAATAAGAACTATACTAATCATAATGGTAATATTAGTAATCATAGTAACATTAATAAGAATTATAATAATCACAATAGTAATCATTTTATAATAGTAATAAATAATGATTCTATCCGGCAGTTCTGGCCTGGCCTTCACCCACTCGTACTCATCGGGAAGCCCAGGAAGATCCTGGCAGGGGTTTAGGGTTTATAGGGCTTTCGACCTAGGGTCTAGGGTTTAGGGATTAGGGTTTAAAGGAACGGCGAACAACAAACGCAGCTCAGGTCAGACCACGATTTGCTCGAGGTTTCAGGACACAAAAACTCATGGCTCCAAAGGTGCAGTCTTTGGTGTAGGGTTTTCGGGTGTGGGGATGTTTAGGGATAAGGGTTTACACAATCTTGTGTTTAGGGCTCAGGACAGCTTTGCCTAAACCCTATAACCCTAAACCCCGATCTAATCCACGACTACCAAGTTCTCCCAAAGAGTGCCGTCCTTGACCGACCCGCCGTTGTGCTTCCTGAGCAAATGTGGGGACACATTGGGATTTAGGATTTAGGGTTCAGGGTTTAAGGTTTAGGGGTTTAGGGGTTTAGGGTATTGGGTTTTTGGGTTTAAGGTTTGGGGGTTTAGGGTCTAGGGTTAGGGTTTAAGGTTTGGGGTTCAGGGGCAACCTTAAGCGTCTTACCTCCCAATCCCGGCACTCTTCGCATGCTCTCCAGTAATCCCTGCCTGTCCGCAGTACGCAACCCATGCTCAGGGACCCAGGTGTACTCACACCGCTTTAAGATTCAAACCCTCGAACCTGCATTACACATGCTTCGGCGCCGGGGGCTGTACAACCCAAAAAGCTTCTGAAATGATGGAACGTTGAAAGGATTTCGGACAATCAGACTCGGTTTACGCGGGGCGGCACGCTATCGCGCACATACATCGGTCAAGGGACATCAGCCACTCGCGCTCACCCTGATTCTGCTGGTCGGGGTGGACGAAGGTGGGGTCCTGGGTTGCGGCCACTCAGCGATGTTTATTCGGAGGGAGGTACTTAGCGGGGAGCAAGGTTCAGAGACCTGTTCCCGCGTTCCAGAACTGAGTGAACTTGTGGGATGAACTTGAGTCAGGCATTATCCACTGCGACCGTCGCCACATGCTCCGGAAGCCTTGAATGCCGAAGCGTCCCTAAACTTCTGCCGAAGCCAAGAGCCCACAGTAACAAATCTGTCTCAGCAACTGCACGTTGTTCGAGAGCCGGTGTTCCCACGAAAGCCGGAGACCCCGAAATTCACACTCTTCCATCCCGAATTCTGTGGCGTGAAACTCTAAGCACTAAGTCACCGGAACAACGCAAGCCATATTATGCCGTACCCTGAACGACTCTGTGGCCCCTGCATCGAGGAAGGGCGGCTCTAAGCCAGAGGGTCGTGCCGGAGGCTTGGGTGCCTCTGCATCGCGACATGCGGGTAGTTCTCTGAATTAGGGTCCCTTTTCGGCTCCCCAAAATACCAAGGCACCCTTTATGACAAAAAGACCCCGAAAGGGACGGTAATTCAGAGAACGACCCATATAGTATCCTTATTGTGGAAAATCCTAGAAACCTTACTATAGAAAGCCCTAATAAGACAGAAACCTTATAGATCACCCTTAAAGAACCTTACTAGAAGCCCTTATGGATCCCTGTAAAGAACCCTAATAGAAACCCCCATGGATTCCTTTAAAGAGCCCCAATAGAAACCCTTATGGATCCCTTCAAACACAAGAACCCTAAAACCTAAACCCTGATAGATCCCTTTAAAGAACCCTAAACCCTTATGGATTAGATTCCCTTTAAAGAACCCTAAACCCTTTTGGATTCCCTTTAAAGAGCCCTAAAACATTGACCTTCAGCATCTCAAACTCTGGGGACCTTTGAACTTCAGCCCTTCTCTGTGGTTCTGGGGCCTTCAAGGCATTTTGGGGCTTAGGGGGTTATAGGGGTAGAGTTTAGGGTTTAGGGCTCAAGTTTAGGGTCTAGGGCTAAAGTTTAGGGTTAAAGTTTAAGGCTTGAGGGGAATTCAAAACACCCCTGCAAGGGATCTCCAAAAGATCTGCAGACATCGCAACGTAACATATAAGAGTCGAAAGCGACTGCCCCCCTGTCCACCCATCGGCCCTTCAACTTGCTCCCAGAACCCAAATCGAGGGCCGGCTGAAAGCTCCCGATCCGTCACAGCTCAACTCGGATCCCGCGAGCATGTTCGGGGATTCACAAGGTTAGGATTGGGGGTCGGATCCCTCCGCCGTCACCCCTCTTCTGCAGCGCTTCTCACTGCTTTTTAAAATCTTAGGGGCGATGATCTGTCGTCGATTTTTGTTCAACAATGGGGCTTGCCGAGAGTCTAGCCATATATATAGATATATATATATATATATTATTTATTTATTTATTTGTTTATAGATAGATAGATAGATAGATAGAGGGCCTTGCCAGCGCAAGGCCACCGCCGCAGCACCCGAAGGGCGGCATCGGCCTAGCCAGGTAGGATTCAGGTGGTGCCGGGTCATCCAAACCCGGCGAGGCATCACAAGCGCCATGCCTGCTGCCATCACAATGATGTTGAACATGGCGACTGATGATGATGATGATGATGAGGAGGAGGAGGAGGGGTGAGGAGGGGGAAGGAGGAGGAGGTGATATAAACGACTGAACATCAATATGGTGATCATCGACAGCAGCAACGTCACCATCATCATCAACAACATCATCATCCATCATCATCATCATCATCGTCGTCGTCACCATCACCACCACTGTCACCGTCAGCATCAACCTCAGCATCATCATCATCATCATCATCATCATCATATCCGACTTGCGCTAGTCACAGAGCTTCATGAAGTCTCTCGTGTGCCTGGAATCCAAAACAGACACACTGTGGATTCCAACGTTCTTTCAGTTTTCCGGACAACCTCCAGAATATAGGGTCCTAAACAATAACCAATACTATTTTGGTGGTTCCTGATTATCAACCCTATTGTAATTATTAAGGCCCCTACATTATCTATCTGTGCCGATTACTCCACAGCATGTCGCAGCACCTTTTTCAGTATCCGGTATGGACACCCGATGGGCACTGAAACAACTCTAAACCCGAAACCCTAAAACCTAAACTCTAAACCGTGAAACCGCTGCTTGGTGGCGGACATCCTCCAAGCATTCCTGAAGTTTGCCCATCTGCAGATGGGCCTCGCTGCGGGTTTAGGGTTTAGCAGAAGCAAAACAGATGAGATCATGTTCGTGTCGGTATGTTTATCAAAAGGCTGCTGATTTCCGTATGCAGTGACAGTGTGCCCTGGGATGGTGGCCTGGCAAGCCTTCCTACCCCCCACTCCTGCTCCTACTACTAATGCTGCTACTGCACCGCGTACTCCTACTGCAACTGCTACTGCTACTTCTACTTTTGCTACTCCCCCTTTTCCTCCTCCTCACTCTTGCTCCTGCTTTGACCGCCACTCCTCCCTGCTGCGGCGCCTAGATTTTTTTCAAAACAGGCGTCTCTTTCTTGTGTTCGAATTCAAGAGCAAGCCTCCTGTAACGGAATTGCTGGGTCGGGTCATGTCGGCGACTGGATCTGCGAGGGTGGGAAGCTGGGGCCTTGCGCTGGAAGGCTTCTCATTAATTTGGGGTTGAGGGTTTAGGAGTTTATGGTCTAGCGCTTAGGTTTAGTAATTCAGGGTTTATGGCTTAGGTCTAGGACCCGGCAATACAGATTACAGCGTGAAGCAGCCACGACTGCAACAACAGCGAAGGGAGAGGGCTTGCACTGAAGGTGGCGACCATAACCCAAGCTGCCATCCTCCTGCCAATTTCCGAAGCCCGCAAAGTGCTCTTACTAATATCTGTTGCAAGGGTCCCTGAACCCTGCACTCTGAGCTCCGAAAACGCGACAGAAGCCTATCAGGCCAAAAAATGCATCAAACTGGCCTGGCAGCGATTTGCATAGACGACGGCGCACTCCTTGCAGCCAAGAGGATGCGGGGTTCATATGGGGTAGTTCTCTAAAGTAGGGTCCTTTTATTATAAGGGTGCCGTACTAGTTTGGGGCTCTAAAAGGGACCCGAATTTAGAGAACTACCCATATGACTGTCGAGACTAGAATGCAACGGCCGGAATGCCTGGATCTCCAAAACACTGGGAATTTGGATTAGGGGGACCTTTGGGGATGTAGACCCTCTCAACAAGGTCTCTTTTAAGAGAGCCAAAAAGTAAGGTTTAGAAGGGGTCCCCTTTAAGGGGTCTCCCTAATACTACCTGGGAAACACTCCCGATGGGGAGATTCAAGGCGTACCGAGCAGGTGCCCATTCAACAACAGTCCTGTCGGTGATAGCCTTCGTACGGGAAATATTAGATACCAGAGTAACATAGGGGCCTCAAGAACCACCTATACTATTTTTGGGGGGCTCCTTATTCTATTTATACTATACAGCACCCCAAGACCCTCTTCTAATTGTTAAGGCCCCTACATTACCCAGACCAGTTGTGAATAATGGCTGCGCAACTCAAGCAAAGTTGAGCTGCAAGACGCCCTCAACCGAACAAAAACGTCCAGCCCACCGGTTTAGGGTTTATAGTGTTTTGGGGGCCTATATATAGGGTTTAGGGCCTATAGGGGCTTGGCTCCTGCTGGGATGTGGCATCTGCCTCATCGTACTGCTGAAGTGCCTTCTCGAGAACCTGCGTCCAGAATTTGGGGTGTCGGGGGAGCAGGATCCCAAGACGTAGGGCTTCAGGATTTAGGGTATTTGGGGGTATTGGGGGTTTTGGGGGTTTGGGGTTTAGGGCTTAAGGCTTCCTTCCGGGTTTAGGGTAGGGTTTGGGGGTTTAGGGGTTTAGGGAGGTCTTTGAGTTCGAGGGCCTGGGGTGTTCGGGTTCGGGGCTTAGCGTCTCGAGTCCTGTATGCCACCCTCACGATGGAATCAAGCGCCAGCTTGAACTTGGACTTGGTTGCCCAGTAGCCCTTTTCAGAATAAGGGTGCCCTTTTTCCCCACTAATTGGCTTTAGTTTAACCAGGGAACCCCCCCCAAAAAAAAAGGGCAAAAGGGTCCTACTGGGACCACCTAGTGAGGAGAGATCGACTTCCTATTCGGGTTCTTGGTTTAGGGGTTCGAGGATTCCGCGGCCAACCTCGCCGTGACAAATCTCAAAATACGGCAGCCGTGGATATCCCGACCACCCAAACTCTAGATACTGGAGCCTGCAAGAACTCAAAATCTAAAGAATCTAAACCCACACGCTGAGCTCTGTACACCTCCAAACCCCCCCAGCAGCAAACATAGTGCGAAGCCTAGGCGTTGAGCAGAAAAGATCCTACAGCCTGAGGCTCCGAGAATGCAGTCAGTACCTTAAAAGCTCTGGTACGGGAGAGTCAATCCCTGTTGCCTCCTGTCCTTCGCCGTGGGCGTTTCGGAGGGTCTGGTCGGCCTAAACCCGGCAATCATGGCCGATAGCAGGAAGATGTGGGAAGAGCGATATCCTAAAGAACCAGGACAATAGTGAATAGTGCTATGATCGATGCTAACAGATAACCACATAATGACCAACAGTGGCGGTGACACTCAATTTGTTGGATATAATTCGCGGCAGCAGCGTTCTAATACCCGGCAGCTGTTAATCTTAGGGGCTGAGTATCCTAGCCCAAAAAAGGTTAACCCTTCAACAATGGTACGGATATATAGGCCCAAAAAGGTTAAAGGTTACTTACTCAGCTACTAAGTAATCGTCATGACGAAAGGGAACAGGCTCTTCCGAACGCCTCACCAGAAGGACTGACGCAAAGGAGGCTCTGAGCACGGGGGGTTTTGGTGTGTAGGACCCTGCTTGAAAAAAAACATATCCGAAAGCCGAAGTCAACGTGCTACGTCCCAGGGCCAGGGACCTCCAAAATGCCAACCGGATGCTGCACTAAGGGAATTCGGGGGGTCTTTCTCAAAGCCCAAGAACAGCAAGTCCTGCCTTCCTTCATACAAGGATGTTCCCGAATGGGGAACACAAGCTCACAGACTTGGGGGTTCAATTTGGCCTGGTGTTCGACGATCAGATGATAGGGGGCACTGAGCTGCACTAGGACTATATGGAACCCTCCATAGTAGTATGCTCAGCATACGGACACCTAGCTCACGGATGTGCCTCTGATTTCAGGAGACCCCCTTCGTTGCTCATGTTGCTCATACTGATGCCATGGCGCCTGCTCTTTCTCCTGGAGTGCCTTCTTTGCGGCCTGGACGCGTTGAAGATCCAGGCGGACCTCTGCCAGCGTCAAGGGGCTTTTCCGGAGCAATGCGGCATCACCCTCTTTTTCGTGAACTTTCGGTAATTTTGATTACCTCCGTTGGCGAAGGAGGGAAGGAACATTGAGAGGATCACTGTTGGAACCGCATAATCTTTTGCAAAAGAACATCCCGGCCACGTCCCCTTCTCACCCCGTATACGTCCCGCACATTTTGAAACCCGAAGACTCCAAGTTGCCCCCGAAAGGCTCCCCCAAGAGGCCTCTGAAACCCAGAAACCCTGGAACCCGAGGACCCTAAATTCTGAGGGCCCTGAAAAAGAGCCCCGAGATATCCTCGATACTCAAACTCTCCTAACCCTTGGAGATTTGTATATATACCTTTTATAGTTAGGAGTATAAGGAAATGTTTAAAAACTAACTATGTTACATGAGGATTAGGAAATTCACCCTAAACCCTGAACCCTAAACCCTAAACCCGGAACCCTAAACCATTCCCAGCGCCCTGCGCCTGTTTGGCCTCCTCCATTTCCAGCCCTTCGCTGCCGAGCGCCTTCTCGAAATGAGCTTCAGCCTGGACATTAGGGTTTAGGGATGCCTAGGGCTACGGGGTTACAGGGTTGCAGGGTTTAGGCCTAAACCCTAAACCCTAAATGGGTTCAGGGCTTATAGGGTTTAGGCACAGACCTTCCGATATCCCATACTTCAAGCATATGCCTTCAACTACAGTAGGATCCCTGATCTGATCTAAGAGATATACCTTAAGACTATGGTATGATTTTCAGCCTGATCTGATCTAAGATATATACCTTAAGACTATAGTATGAATGATACCTCGTATGATTTGAGGGCACATTCCTTGCTTTTGGGGTTGCACCGGTTTGGAGGCCCAAGGCACCTGGGGAATTGAAACCCTCTTGGGGAGTAGCAGCAATATTAAAGGGATCTATAAGGGCCTCTTTTGGGATGTCTATGGAACTTATAAGGGCCTCTTTCGGGGTGTCTATAAGGATACTATTATGGGTAGTCCTCTAAATAAGGGCATACCGTTGAGCATCCTTTTTATACGGGTGCCGTACTATCTTTGGGGTTACAACAAAAAGGGCACCCTAATTTAGAGGACTACTCATAGAATTATGGGTGAACACAAGGAAGTTCAGTTGGAACATGAACTTGGGATGATGGGTGCTGGCATCCCTTATACTTTACCTTACAGGGTTTAGGTTTTTTTTTTTTAAGTGCCACGGCCTTTCGGGGTTTAGGGCTTAGGGTTTAGGAACGGGCACCAGGGTAATGATGTTCCACCTCTCTGGCTCCTACTTGATCATGAAGCCGTAGCAGCTAAGATGGTTGAGGACCCGCACTGGAAGCAAACAACAGCCCAGCAACCTGAAATCACACAGAAGAAGCCCTGATTTTATGTGGATTGCTGGCAATGCCTGTAGCCAGCAATATCCTACTTAGTTTAGGATATATGCAAGGGTCATAAGAAGGAATCCTACATGTGTGACTCTTGCCAGCCACAGGCAAGGCTTGTAACTGTAGTAAACCCTTTGGGAGTTCAACCCTTTTCGGGTTGCAGGTCTTATCATGATGGTCATGCACTTCGGTTCCAGTAAGGATCATGCTTCGGGAACATGACGGTAGCAGCAGCGGAACAAATAGGCCGGTCAGCAAGCAAAAGATTCATATAGGGGCCATAATAGTTAGAACAGGGTTTGGTGTATATTATACTTAGATCTTATTAAAGGAGCACTCAAAACCCTATTCTAATTTAGTAAAGCCCCTGCATTAATCAGCGCCTCACCAATGAAGGGGCCTTCATAATTAGAATAGGGTTCCTTTAAGGGGTTCTTAAACGGGTCTATAACGGCTCCTTAAATGGTTCTATAAGGGTTTAGGGTTTAGGGGCCTTGATAATTGGAGTAGGGTGAGAAGGGCCCAGCATAGTCTACATATAACAAAGGAACCCTAAAAGCTAGAAACCCTCAAGGACTAAACATAACAAGGAACCCTAACAGTACTATTTAGGCTTCAATATCACCATGAAAACCACTCTGCAAACCCCTGGTTATTCCAATGAAGCTAGAAACCCTCAAGGGCGAAGAAGCGCCCTCGGGACAGCCGGGCATTTTTCGGGCTTCTAGCGTTTAGGGTTTGGGGTTTAGGAATTGTTGTTAATTACTCTAACCGAGGACTCCCAGCCGCAACAAAAAAACTCGTGGAAACCACCGGCTGCCTTCTGGAAGGCCCCCAGCCACAGGAAGGCCACACCTGGGGAACCCTAAACTCCCTCTAAACACCTAAACCCTAAACCCCATCTAAACCCTAAACCCCATCTAAACCCTAAACCCCTATAAACCCTAAACTGGATCGTTGCAGGGTCCATTACTTATCCGAGGAGGATTTTCTGTAGGCGTCGCGCCCATTCTGATCTCCACGCGCGCTCTCACCTGCCGTCAGGATCTTGGTGCCATGGTTGCGTCATGGGGCCTTAAGAATTGGAATAAGGTTTTGGGGTTTTTATACTATAGTTACATTAAGGAACCCCCAAAATAGTATAGGTAATTAGATATGGCTTCTATATGACGTCCTGCGGCATCTCGGGGGCCAACAGAATACTGGTTCAAACAGCTCAGGTTCCAGCTCATGAAAGCTATTCGGGAACGAAGTTCGAGTTTCTGCTTAAACCCTAAACCCTAAACCCTAAAGCAAGATTGCTCGCTCCAAGTTCCGCTCCTTAGGCTATCGGGGTTCACGAAAGAGGGTTTAGGGTTTAGGGGTTTAGGGTTTAGGGTTCAGGAAGTGTGGAGGACTTGGTGCGCATGAGCTAAGGAATCACAGTCGGGGTACAGCAGCATGTTATCCCCGAGTCCGTGTTTGTCAGGTTCTCGAAATCATCTCGTCGTTTCTTGTTCCTCTTGCATCGCTGCAACGTTTCGGTGTGGTCGTACTATCCTACCAGCTTTGGTTCGGCACCAAGTCGTCCCACCACCCCCCACCTCGAGGCCCTAAAGCTTAGAGCAGCTTATGCCCACCCAAAAGTCCCCTCACAGCCCAACACCACACAGAGCGTCCCCACCTTCTCGTCCTCTGGGTCGGCGGTGTGCGAGATCTCACCCGGACGAGCCTTGTTCCTTCCCGCAGGCACTCTCTCAGCGTTCGATTCGGGATTTCGGGTTCTTTTTAATAGGGAGTTTAGGGTGTATACCGGGTTTAGGGTTCAGGGTTTGTATTTGGGTTGAGGGTTTAGGGTGTTCGATTCTTGTCCTCTTCGCCTTGAGAAGATCGGGATTTGGGCCAGAACGGTCCCGCACGGCTACCTCTGGTCCAGCAGCTTTGGATACCCTGGACGAACTAGGGTTTAGGGCTTTAGGGTTTAGGGTTGTTGCTGGCCTTCATGCTGGTCTGCTTCGGTGTCTTTGCAGTGTTTGTGAAGAGTTGTCGCACCGCTTGCCGAGAAGATTCCCTGTGGCTGCAGTCCTTCCAGGTTGGCACTGATTCCGTCTTGCTTTGGCATCGCTTCTGACCACAGGCTGTGCACACAAAGCCTGTCAGCACATTGCAGAAAAACCCCTGAAACCACGATGGTCAGTCAGCCTGAAGTCCAAGATCTGGATGGATCGGTTGCAGTCCTGCGTTCAAAGGCTCTCGGGCGCGGGATCTGAGGGATCCACCAAGGAGGGTAAGGCTCGGAATCATGGATTAGGATGGTGCTTCAAAGCTTGCGGCACTGAGCTCCCAAACGCTGTTTTGCATGTTACAAACAGCAAGAGCTTCGGCGCTTCAACTGTGATGCTGTCTCACTTGAATCAGCTGGAGAAGAAAGCATGCACCATGATGCATGATGCCCCATGCTGCTGCTAGAACTACAACTGCCACTACTACAACGACGACGATTGCGGCGAGGACTGCCACCAAGACTACTGCAGTCGCGAGACTCCGAGATCCAGTGGTGCTACACCAAGGACGCTTTCGCTCCTCCAAGCACTGCTCGAAGTTGCCGAGGTACCTCCGAAACTCGCGAAAAAATGCTAGGGGCCCTGGTGACCTTCCGAAGATGGAAGTGGGGTCTCTTAGCTAGTCGTCCAGTAGCCTCGAGGCACTACAGGTGAACCTTTGGGGTTTATAGAGGGTTTGAAATAGTGCCCCCATAAAAGGTTAAAGGTGAGCCTTTGGGGTTATAGAGGGTTAACAATCGTACCCCAAAATTCAAAAGGTTAAAGGTCAGCCTTTGGGGTTGTAGAGGGTTTATAATCGTACCCCAGAAATGGTTAAAGCTCAGCTGCTCTACTACTTTGTAGGTATAGTATAACATACGCCAAAACCCTATTCTAAGTATTAAGGCCCCTACATAATCAAGTCATCCTATATAAATCCTGGTGTCCACGCAGTCGCGAAGAGGCGCCAGCCATCTGAGACCGGCGCAAAGCAGCCACGGCGCGATTCGCAAAGCATCGCGCGTTCGAGGCCAACTTCAGGGCCTTCGGACAAAAAAACACGGCTTGAGTTTCATCTTTCCCTAAGGGTCCATGTACCCAAATAGTATATACTTTGGCCTTAAAGTAATCCCTAAATGGGTACATGGACCCTTAGGGTTTATGTTTTGTTGAGCACCGTTTCCCTCAGGATAGCTCAGTCGCAAGGGTTTTAAGGCTTCGAGTTTAAGGTGAGCAACAGGACGGAGTGCGTTCGTTTTTGCTGTCGGTGCTTTTTTGGTTGTGGGTGTGAAGGGGGGGTGCTTGTTGCTGTTTGGGGCCGGATGGGCCGTTCACCCACTTGCCGGTTTGCCAGAGCTCCAGCTGCAAGCCACAAAGCGAAAACCACACAAACAACAAACAACAAACAGCCGTTCCGTCACCAAGCCAACAACTCGACAGGAGCCGAGACAAAGTTGCACGGGCGGAGCAACAATCTATACATATATCTATATATACATATGTAGTTATACAGATAGTGCGACTGAGCCTGCCCAACAGGGGTCTCGGGCATAATTGCTTGTTTAGATACAGCTTCTGAGTGGTTATCGGCCTCACTCCCTTAGCAAAGAAGGCTCTCATACGGATCACCTGTCCACAGCCTGCTGACGCCCCAGACGGCAAAAACGACTCCGAACCTAGAAGACCCTAAGTACCCCAATTTAGACAAATACACCCAAAGCACATCCCAAGAGTGCGAACGGAAAGAGCACATACACCTCCTCTAGCATGCTGTGTTAAAGGAAACTACAGTTTATACGGACCTTCTGTGGGGAGTTTAGGGTATGTAGGGCTTCTACAAAGCTTCTACCAGGTATATAGACCTTCTGTGGGGAGTTTAGGGTATGTAGGGCTCCTATAAAGCTTCTATAAGGTATATAGACCTTCTATAACTTCTATAAGGCGTCCTAGACTGTGCGGGGCTCGAAGTGCAGAAAGGGAGTCCCTTGGGCCCCTGAAAGTACTACCTTACAGTGCAGGGGTTTTAGGGGTGTAGGGTTTAGGGGTTTAGGGGTTTAGGGTTTAGAGGTTAGGGGTTTAGGGATTTGGGGGTTTAGGGCTTAAGGGTTGAGGGGTTGGGGCCGGTTAGGGTTTAGGGTCTAATAGAAAAAATCTATTCATGCCCCTTCACGCGCCTCGGTGTAGGCGTTGTAGGCACCCTGGTAGTCTCCGAGGGTCATGAGCTTGTCGCCCTCGAGAGGCTGGTTGTCACCGAGGGCGAGCAAAGATCGAAACGCTAAAACATGACAGCCCTGAGCTCTAACTGTTAATAAAACACCCGCAAACCCCGTGAGCCTTGAAACCCTGTGACAGCTACACATCTCCATGCTACGTGCTTTGTGGAGAGAGAGTGGCACGAAGAGCCCCTCTCCGGGAAGGTCAAGGCTCTAAGGCAAGAGAGCCCACATGAAACCTCGGTCCTACAGAACTCTGCTCGAGCCCCAAGTCCAAGTCTTCAGGTGCGAGGGTTCAAGGTTTAGGGACTTACCCAACCCCCCCCACCCCCCAACAAAAAAAAACAAAAGTAGGCAAAATAATGGCCCAACACCTGTAAAAGGCTGTTGTTCTAAATGCTTTTGGGCTCCAGGTAGGGGGCTTAGGGTTTACGGATCTGTAGGGTTTGGCCTACTCTCGTGTTTAAGGAACAGCAAAGGCCTTGTCCTTCAGCCAGACTGGATCACTCTCGTCCTCCTCATCGCCGGCCTAGGCCAGGGATTGACACCAGGCAGAACCAAGTAATCAAGCCAAGCGCAGTTTAGGGTATTAGGGTGTACAGGGTTGTTCTGTACTGACATCCCCCAGCCTCAGGATTTACAGAAACTGTAGCGTTGCCCTTCTGGATGTTTCGCTGTCGTTATCGTCGCTGTCGGGCTGGGGCCCACCTCATTCCCCCAACCTCTAAGCTCATAGCCTCTAATTGGGGCCTCTGGATCATAGGACAAGCAATACTATAAAGTACTACAGTATACTGAAACATACTCTATCATGTACTCTCATGTACTATAAGAGACTTATAAGACGACACGACAGTCGGGTCCTGCGCATGAAGTTGAGGTGTAGCTGGGGTATGGGGGCTCGTGCTGCGCTTGTGATTCTCAAGGCGCATAATCTGACAAGGGTTTATAGGGTTTAGTGGGGCTTATAAGGGTTTAGGGTTTAGAAGGGCTTATAAGGGTGTAGGGTTTAGTAGGGCTTAGAAGGGTTTAGGGTTTAGTGGGGCTTATAAGGCTTTTACATCTTGGGCTTGCATGGTGCTTCAGGTGCGAGGGCTTCTTGAACAGACCTGACAGCCCCGAGCCTGTGGCAATGAAGTTGCAAGCCTCCAGCATCGAACCGCTCACCCCTAAGCATGAAATCTGAAACGGCGCAGCCCTGGCATTTGAGATCTACACCGGCTAAGAATCCTAATGAGTGCCAGCGTCTATCAGAGAATTTTTCAATGGATCGCACAACAACTTCAACGAGCCTATCAAATACTTGAATGTCAAGTCCACAGCAGCCTGAAAGCACAGTGAGACCAAAAGCTGCAAATCTAAGTCCATCAGTCAGCGAATCCCGGGTATCCCACAACCCCAGCAACAAAATGAACCATCCGTATGCTAGGCTGAATATACCAATCACCCCAAAAACCCTGATTCTCTTAGTTGACAAAGCTTCCTGCTGTCTTGCAGGGCTCCGAATCGGCCCTGCAGATTCCATTCCTGTTTCTGGCAGACTCTTTGGGGTTTAGGATTTAGGGGTTAGCGTTTAGGGTTTTGGGGGGTTAACCCTCGAAGTACTGCTGAGCTTGCGCACGATCATGGGCGGAGCCTCGCTCTTTGGCGCGTCCTGCCAGTAGCTCCATCTGGGATAGCTTTCGGGACCCGGGTCCCCTAAATACTGAACCCGAAACCCTCAAAACCCTGCAAGCCCAGGGCGGAGTTGAGATTTTGGAGCCTTCGGGCATTTCAGCAGCTCGGTGTAGGGTGTTGCAACTTCGTCTGCATATCTTCGGCTCTTCCTGCAGCTGCGAAGACACCTTGTACCCCACATTGCTTCAGCTGTCGGGTTTTGTAAAAAACAGATGCATATATATATGTGTGTGTATGTATGTATGTATGTATGTATGTATGTATGTATGTATGTATGCATGTATGCATGTATGTATGTATGTCTGTGTCCCTCGGTATATATAACATATATATATATATGTGTACACATATACATCTATATATATATATACATTCACGTATACATATGTGCATATATACACACATGCACACATACATACATACATACATACATACATACATACATACATACATAAAGGGAGTCTGGGTAAAACTACGATATGCTTTAGTAAGCTACAGTCGGTTATAGAACATTACATTATGATGGTTTGCACACCCACCTACCTACGTACCTACCTACCTAACTAGCTAGCTAGCTAGCTAGCTACCTAACTACTTAACTATCTGACTAACTAACTAACTCCCCACTACCTACCTACCCATCTACCTACCTACCTACCTACCTAACTAACTAACTAACTAACTAACTAGCTACCTAACTACGTAACTATCTGAGTTACTTACTAACTACCCAACTACCTACCTATCCATCTTCCTACCTACCTACCTACCTACCTGCCTAACTAACTAACTAACCAACTAGCTATC